GCACTGTTCATCATTCACGAGTGGTTCAAATCTTTTCTCTATGTCATTTAATAAGGCATTGGCTAAAGCTGTGCCGTGCGGTAAATAGTAATAATTGGCAGGGCCGTGCCTGGGTATGTGGCCGCCTGCGTGCGAGCATATAAATGGCCGCCCTTAAAAATAGCATAATAGGAAAATATCCAATATGTTCTCACGAAAAAAATCGTCTTGTAATCTTCAAGTTTTCTCGACATTTTAAGTCATTCTGAATCGTTTGAAAGCCGATTTTTGAATTTTCGGCAACGTTTTCTCAAAACGGTTAAATCCAATTCAAAAGTTTAAAAGTCATTTGATGTAACTAGATAATGACTAGCGCCTGTCAGTTTTGTGCGACGATCGGCCAAGCTGTTTCTAATCAACAGAAAAATATAAAATTTATTGTACACGTTTTAGCCAAAAATTCTGCATCGATTTTAAAAATTCAGGAACTGTTTGAAAGATATCATTTAGGAATCGTGCTGATTACTTCTAAGAGATCGGTCGGTTCGTTTCTTCGTGTTTAATTGGTGAATATTGCTTTACGATGATATTTATAAAACTTTTTTGGCGATAGTGATCATGGTCTCTAAGATAACTACATATTTCGACCCACATTAAGTCATTTTAATTTTTAAAATCTGTACTATCAAAGATTGCAAAAATGAGCGGCGCTTTTTTACGTGAGTCAAAATTTCATCTTTAGTGGACCTTTTCTCAAAAATGCACAATCCCATTTGAAAAATCGTCAAAATTCGTAAATTCGATAAGCACTCGTGCTGCTTAGTTTTGCCTTTAGAATTTTCAAAAAAGTCTCAAATTTTTAATTAGTGAATTGATTTTAAAAATTCAAAAACCATTACAAACGTTTTCCATTTGAGAATCTTGCTGATTAAATTTTGTCAATAATCGACGAGTCGTTTTTCAGTTATTGATTAACAAATTGCTTTGGAAATTTGGATCTTGTTTTTAATTTACTACAGTTTGTTTCTTGTTCAATAATATGTAATTTTTAAACTATTTATAAAACATAACTAATATTTTTAGAAAATTTGTACAAAATTGAATAATCTGCGATAGTTTTTCACATTGCAATGTACTCATGAATTAATATATTTTCATTGTTAAGTCGATTATTAACACATGTTGGATACTTCATGCAACTTGATTTAGGCAAAGTTGCCACTTACACCAAGTTTATAACTTATAAATTATTTAGAAACAGAGTCGCATTCAATAGGGCCGCCTTTGGCTGATTTTTACTACGGTAATTTTGGTCTTTTAGATATATACAGCGGACTTTACGGCAGCGAATGAGTTCAGCGGACTTTGAGCTTGGCCGCCTCTTAATCCAACAGTCTTTTAATTTGGCCGCCTTTTAATTCAGTAGACTTTTAATGCAACAGCTATTTATTTCGACCATTTTTTGTTATGGCCGTCTTTGAATTTGTTCTTTTTTTCATTTGGCCGCCCCTCGGCCGTCTCAAAAGGCGGCCGCCTGCGTGCGGTGCACGCACTGCACGCTGGCCAGGCACGGTCCTGGGCATTGGATTAACGATTAACGGACTTCTGGCATTTTAACGGAAGTTAACGTGTCCGTTAACATTTTCAAAAGTTAACTTAAAAGTTAATCCGTTAATCAAAATGTTAACTTCGTTAATTAACGATTAACGGATTAACGAGTTAATGCCCAGCTGTGTATATATATATATGTATATATATATATATATATATATATATATATATACTATTATTACATATACTATTTTGGGACGGTTTAAAGACATTAATTAAGAAAAAATAACAATCAATTACGAACGCGAAAAAAATAGATAAAAACCAAACGCAAAAATGTAAGATTATATCTAAAATTAAAAGTTTTATTTAAATTGTTTTAATTTATGTTATCATAAATGATCGACTGACTAAATACTATTAATAATTTTAATACGAAAATTATTAGCCCGATAAGTTTGTCAGTTTTACTAATATTTAAAAATATTTTAGTGGACATATGAGAGACGGCCTGTTCAGTAGCACCGTTATAAATGAAACCATGACTAATCCGCAACAAAGTTCAATAATAGATCTAGGTCAGGACTAAGTTCAATACAAGCCCCCGAACAGGTATGATATGTCTCATAATTTACTAATTAATTATATTATAGCAATATTGGCAATGGTTCTGATTGAAGCTATGACCTACTTAAGTATACATAAATGTACGGCTAATAACCATTCAAATTTGAACTTCCGAATTCTGCCTATTCGAAATAGAAAATAAATCGGTTATGATATATCATAACAAAGTATTACTATAATCACTTTGCTTATATTTAGAAATAGAACGTTATGGGTATTAATAATTTTGAATGTTCTTTTCGACAGATTGAAGAAGACAATGCAGTGGGAAACGCTCCAACAGAAATCGAAAATATTTCTATACTACCGTTACCTCAGGAAAGTTTAGTCATAGAACAGCCAGAAATGCAGGATCAGGTTGCTGCCCGCGATTTGTCTTTCGAAAATAGGCTGTAAGTTCATTTGCAATAAAGAATGATCATAATAAAATAAAACTTATATCATGCATTAAATTAACTGCAGTTAATTATTATTATAATTAACCATGGTTAATGGAGGTTATAAACCCACTCACATAAATTAACCGAAATTTTGTATATTAGCTAAATTGTACTTATTGTTAGAGAATGCTTAATATAAGATTTATAAAATAATTTTTAATTCGAAAAGTTTCAACATACAATTTGATGTCATCATCAGTAGAACTTCGTAAGTAGATATTGGTACCTTCACTTCACTTTTTCCACATTTTTGTAAAACAAAACTCTTATTATTTTTCCTATTTACAAAAAAAATCATGATAATTGACTGGTTAGTCGTGTCAATGTTAGTGCAAAATTCTGTGATGTGTAAACATTTTAGATGTATACATCATAATAAAATCATTATAAAATATCAAATTTGACATTTTGACTGATGATGGCATCAAATGTGTATGTGTATGTGCGTGTGTGTATAACATATACAATATTTATAAATTTGAATTAATAGTAAGAAATGGAGTAGAAGAAATGTCCTAATGATTTTGCATACTGTTTGGAGTGAAGGGATATCACCAGTTCAAGTTCACCTTATCTGTGATTCAAGCAACAATAAAAAAGTAGATCTCGCTCATTGTTTCAAGACACTCCTAGGTAAATAATGATTTATAATGTTTATAAGTTGCTAGTATCTCGTGCTCATGAAAGATTCGAAAGTGCTATGAAATGATTTCCAAATCTAACTTGTTGTAAGTGGAATTTTGCGTTAAGGCAAGCTTTAATTTCACGATTTGATAATCTACTACTGTTATCAATACGAATTCAGAATTAGCAACAACTTTTAATTTACTACGATAAAATGTTCTACTGTTTATTTCAATAATAAGCAGGATTTCACCTTTGCTAAAAACGATCGTTTTAAATATAAATAGATTAATAAATTTAAAATATAAATAAAATAAATTAATAAAAATCATTCGAATGATTAATATCTTTCAAACAAACTTTTATAATGGCCGAATTGTATTAACACATTTTTATTTATTTAACACATTTAATTTTACTTTGTGCTTTTAAAATTGTTTTCATTAAAATGTGGATATTTCGGAGTACGCCTAAGAGCGTATACTTATTACTTATTATATTCGTTTACTTATATTATTTGCTTATCATTAGAATCGATAAAAATCACACTTAATTACGAATCACGTTCAATCTTTACCAAAAGCTAATCAACACGATTGTCAACGGTTTTTGAATTTTCAACTACTGCTCAATATTTTTGCCTAAACGTTACAATTTGGATTTTTGGGCAAAAACATAAACTTCAAAAATTTAATAATTAGTAATATAAATAATGTATATAATCTCACCTCATTTATTTAAAATCTGTTATAATAATTCTTAGATTTTTTTAGAGTGCTTGAGTTTGGCACACAAATTAAATTTCGATTAACTACACTCAGTATTGATTTTCACAGAACTTACTAATTTGGAACGCGTTGATTTGATAGTGGACACTGTAACAACAAACATTATTAGTATTGAAAAAGGACCACATTCAGACTATGAGTCAATATCGAGTGAAGATATGGAGTTAGAATAACTTGCCCAAAAAAAAATATATATATAGATATATATATAGTGTTAACACATTGCTTGTGATATTTATAATTATATATATATATATATATATATATATAAACATATATATACACTTGCATAAATTATAATATTATATTTGTTTGTAAAATACAAACTCTTAAGTGTAATTACTTTTATTGAAATTATTTATAATATTTTAGATATGCGCATATACTTTAATATATTTTTATACTATGTTACAATTATGTTTTTATTCATTTATTTTATTCATGTTTATAAATCTCTCTTTCATAATGACCAGAAGTGATTAAATATAATAACAGAAAACAAGTATATATACTTAAGTAGGTGAAAATGAAACACGCAATTGACCAATGAAAAAATTTCGTAGATCTCTAAAATAACATTAATATCAAATCTTCAAAGTTTTGAAGTTCTTTAAAAATTATGTAACTTTTTATAATTGGATTTT